ATCACAACACAATAACAAACCAACAAACCTTGCTATTGTAAATCATCAATTTTAATAATCTCGCCCATGCTTGCTCCAAAACCAGCCTTTTGGATTTCAGATGAGAGGCATAAGGCCAGGGTACAGACCCGCGTCTTGAAATCAGAGCTCTATCTTGCCCGCTGGGACCCACCGCCCAGAAGTCACCTAGTCGCGGGTCGGTGGAGGCCCTGGTCTGAGTTGAGCTCTCACCCAAGCTCTCCCGTGGCTCTCGCAACTCCTCAGGTCGGGTCTGGTCTCAGCTCTTAGGTAGCTGAGCTTGATCTGGTCGAGCCGGAAAGGTACGCGTTGCAGACGCCCCAGCCCCTTGCTCCAACGCTCTCAGCCCCTTTGGACCAGATAGTCCACTCCCAGGTCTGGTTCTCACGGCCTTCCATGCAGCTGGCTTAGCTGAGAAGGCAGTGAGAGTCGCGTCAGCAGTTTGGAGGAGAAAGTGCGGGTTGATTATTGACCCACGCCTTCTGTCTTCAAATGCCACATCCGACCCTGAGGGTTTGAAGAGAAAATGCCACCGAGCGGATTTTTGCGGCCGGCCTGGTCTCACCTCCTACACGTCCCGGCTCTTCCCTTTCAAGTTGCTCCGCTGCAATATGCCATAAGGAGCAAGTGTTTGCTGTTTTGTGCTCTGTTTACAGCTTTGGGGAGCCGAGTCATAAATCTTGCCCAGCCATAAATGACAAAAACCATTGGTATGCATGAGGCCACCCTGGCCCGGAGTGCTTTTTGATTTCTCCCTTTTCCCCTGGCTTTGTTTTTGCTCTAAGGTGACACTTTGGCTCCCTGACAGTTTAAACATACTACTTATATTTTTAACACCTTCCTTTGAGAAAGGACTCTGGTTGACGCCTCAGAATTGCACGAAAGCGCTCTCTCTCTCTCTCTCTCTCTCTCTCTCTCTCTCTCTCTCTCTCTCTCTTTCTCTCTCCTATCTTGGAGGAGTTTGCTTCTGAAGCTGGGAAGCTCAGAGGGGCACTGGGAATTGATCCCACCCTCTTTAAAGTTGTGGCATGTTACCAAGCAAATGTAGGCCTTTGCTCAACCCAGCAAAAGGAAGGTCACTCAACTGATTAGGGGGTGAAATATCATGGATGTCCATTTGTGTTGGTGTCAGAGCCTTATCTATCTTCCTTGTAGGCGACCTCCCTGCGTGCAGTGCTATGAAATGGGCACGCAAGAGGTGGAGACTCAAGTTTCTTGGTATCTTTGTGTATGCCTGAGCTCAGAGAGGTTCACTTTACTGTGGGGACAGTCCTCCATCTCCCCAGGACACTTCCCTCCTTTCAGCCTAGAAATATAACCAAAGGTAGTTGCGTTTGGGGAGGTGTCTGAAAATAGGCCCTCTCCCTGAACCACAGGGACTGGCTTTGGGGTGTCTCTGTATTGGGAGCGGCAGGTGAAGTAAACTCCCCAAAGTCAGGACAACTCATTTCCCCTTCTCCCCCACCTCCAATAAAAATGTTCAGGGCAGGGAATTGCGTGGTTTCTCAGACAGATCCTTAAGAAATAGAGCCCCGCAAGAGAGCCCCTTTGTGAGAGCCGTTTGTCCTCATTAGCATAATTTTCCTGGACTTTAGTGACGCCTAGGAAGGAGAGGGAGGGCGTGGGGTGGGGGAGGCCGCCCTCCTCCCG